CGCCACGTCTCGGGCGCCGGCACGACCGTCAAGCTAGACCGCCTGGGCCCTCTTGTCGTCAACGTCGACGGCACCATGTCCCGCATCTCGAACTGGTCCGAGATGGCCGAGGTTGAGAAGCAGAACACGCTAAGGGTGCTGGGGAGGCGGAACAAACAGCGGCTGGAGGCGTTGAAGAAGGCTGCCAAGGAGTGAACCAGACTTGCCGCAGCGCACGCTTGGATAGAGGGGACGGAGCTTACACATAGAGCCATGATTCCGGAATGACTAGCTTCATGCACGTAATTAGCACACCAGACTTTGGCAGGGACAAGACCAGTGCGTGAAGTTGAAACGGCAGCCGAGAAAAGATGTGAAACTCTACATGATTGACGCCATGATGAATGATATTTTCGAGCACTCGCCCAAATCTCCACTCCTCTGGAACACCGAGCCAGGGACCCGTCCTGAATACCTCATCAGATAAAACATGCAGTGAGACCGGTGGTCATTCACACGACTGTAAACTTTGCACAGATTCAATTCATATCTAGCCAGCCATTTCTATATGCTCCATCGTATATAGATCATCCACATATATTCGGGACGGACCCTCTCGCTTGTCCAAAACAGTAGCAAAGCCGCCGCCCAGATTCCTTGTAAATTAATAAAAACGCCAGAAACCAAAGGAAGAAAAAAACCGCCCCTGACGCGGTCTTGCGTCGATGCGCGCGCCAGTACAAGTCATCACATTATCATCCACTTTGACAACAAGGAAAATGCCTCCGGTCTACGTCACCGCTCTTCCTTGACGGCTTCTGTGGTAGATGACTCGGGATTCTTGGACTTTTCGCTGGCATGCTTGGTGAACTCCTTCCATAAAGCGGTAATGTCGTCACTGCCCTCATTCTTCTCGACCAGGAGGTTCTTGAGCCACTTGTTCTCGGTTTCCAGCTGGGCAACCTTGTTCTCCAGGGCAGTGACCTTCTCGGTCATCTCCTTGGCGGACTTTTCGAGGGCCTGCTCCCGCTGCTTCTTCTTGATTCTGAAGCGAGCGCTAGCGGCAGTGTTTCGCCGCCGCTTGTCCTCCTCGGCAGCGACGCGAGAGGCGTCCTCGAAATTCATCTGCTGGGGAGCGGGAGTAGGAGCCGAGACCATGGCGTCTGGCTTTCGCTTATCGCCAGCTCGTGCATTGCCCTGGCGGAATTGGGGCTGCTGATGAGGAATCTGGACCTGGTGGCTAGGCTGGAGGGGCTGGAATCCCTGCGCCGAGTCGGAGAAGGCATTCATGTGTGGGGCGGCAGCATAGGCGTTGTTGAAATCAGCAAAGTTGAAGTCACCTGCTGGAGGCAATTGCAGTCAGCCCAGGTTCACGTAACACAGGAAGGCATGTCTTTGAGCGTGGTTTAAATGGTGAAAGCAAATTGCAGGCCATGGCCATCTCGGGGAAAGACAGCTGTAGTCCTTAACAGGCAGGCTGACCTGCAGTGAGGTCGCAGTCTGTGAGGATAGCCGTTGGTGTGGATGCCAACCGGATGGCGAAACCATGTGCGCGCGGACAATCACGAGGAATTGCACCATCGCTGGCCATTTGTCATCGAGAGAGACCCCCCCTTGTGGGCCCCCACATCTACCACATGAACCACCCCAGAGTCCATGCCAGCAGAACCGGGGGAGCAGCGCCGTGCAGAATGGCGGCCAAGGGGTGGTTGCAAGGGCGTAGCGGGTATTGGAAAAGAAGCAAGTCGTGCATATTGTGTGATTTGTGCATTGGAAAAGTCATTGTTTGTTCCTCGTCCCGGTCACCCCGCGTTGAGATCGATCGAGGAAGGCCGGACGAGCAGTCGTCTCAGAAGCGCACGGCCAGGCAGACACGGAAGTCGGGGAAAGAAAGAAGACAATAAAAAGCAAATATAATAATCAACTTACCAGATATAAAGTCTAAATTAGGCATATCATTCATGGTGGCCTGGACGGGGGTAACGTCGCCCGACGTAGTCGAACCATGCCGTGTGGCATTTTCAACATCCACCTTGACAGGCTGGGCCTGGAAGTCGGTGTTCTGGCCAGAGTCGAAATCGAAAAACTGCGTATTGGTGAAGAGGGCAAGGTCGTCTTCCATGTTGAAAGCGTCCTCGGCAGGACCCGTGGTGTCCTGAGGACTGATGGTGTTGAGGTCGCGAAGGTATTGCGACACATTGGGCCCGTGCCTCCCGTTGTATGTCGACATTATGGCGTGATGCTTTGGTAAGACGAGTCACCAATGTTTTGTTTCTTCTTTGCAGGGTTGGAGAAACCAAATATAAAACGGCTCCTGGCGTCAGGGTAGTGCAAATGGCTGATTTGGATGTGGTGGCCGAAGAAACGTTCTTTTTTTCGCTGCGCAGGCCGACTCGACAGGTGGCAAATGACCGTTGGTGGTGCA